TGTGTGTGTGTGTGTGTGTGTGTGTGTGTGTGTGTGTGTGTGTGTGTGTACGTGAAAAATAAAGGGCACATAAAGAGAGACGGGAAATCTGACTTGAACAGGTTCTGGCTGATCTTGGCCTTTTGTCTTGGAGACCCTTCCAGAGGCGTCAGGATGTCTGGTGAGTGGAGTACTAAAGAAAAAAACAAAACAAAACAGGGAAGTGTTTCTATGACTGAACAACAAACAATGAAAACTAGTGCAAGTGTGCTTCTCCCTTACAAATGTAACTTCTTCTTGTCCTCTCCTTCATCCAGATTGCACAAACTTGATCCTGGTGGTTCACTACTGATGAAACAAAAACTTTCTGTGCTCATTATGTGTAAATATTTAGCATTCTATCATTTCACTAATTAATATGTATTAATATGTCTGAGTGGCTAATAATAATATCCGTCTTGCCTCTCATCCTGATCCTTATTTTCTGTGTTTTCCATTAAAGGAACATAAAAAAAAATTGAGAGTGGTTTGGGAAGCATCTGTCCACACATGCTTAAATAGTAGACCCTGAGAATACAGAGCGTCTCCTGGAAGCGGTTAAACTCCACCTACACAACATTAACAAACAAAGATTATGGTGATATTTAAGAGACATTTTTATGTAAGAGACATAGCCAAAACAAAAACTACAATGTTACCTGCGTAAGTATAGAGTGGTGGTTGACGAGAACAACAATGTGCTCCTCCAACCAACCATCACTCATGAGAGAAGCCCTCTCTTGCTCATCCTGCTCCTTACGCTTGTCAGTAATGTCCCACAAACGTTCACGTAGCTCCTGTATGCCCGCAAATCATTAAATCATAAATATGTTTTTTTTATTTTAAGTTTATTTCCTCGGTTTTTAATACAAATTTCATGATTTTAGGAATATTTATTTTGTATTGTAAAGTCTTACATCCAATCTCAGATGTAGCTCTTCTTTGGTATCCTCATCTTCTCTCATATCATCGGGTATGCTGTTGAAGTTCTTCTGCCATTGAGACACTAACTCCTGTTTTAAGTCTGGGCGCCCCAAATAATGTTTGTAATGCTCTCTGCAGACACCAAAAACCAAAGAATGCACATTAATAAATTAATATAGCACCAGTTTTCATAAATGATTGTTTTCAATGAAAATTCGTCTTTTATTTGTAAAACATTTCTGACCTATAGGTTTAAACAAAGGCTTGGCAGAATACCTGATATTAAACAGGTGATGGTTGATAACAGAGCGTTGCAAGCGCAGCTCTTGCATCACCGTCTTTACACCGTCTACATAAGAATCGCACAATGTGTCCCAGTATGAGCACAGGTACTCTGGGATCTCCTAGACAGGATCAAATGGAAGTATGAGAGGACAGAGTAAAAAAAGACAAAACCAAACAAAATACTCTTTAATGCAGCAGAAGATATATAGCAACGAATTTCATCTAATAAATCTCATTAACTCTGAAACTGCTCATGGACTAAATTGTGTAATAAAACCTCCCTATAGTTACCTCCAGGGAGTCATATCCGCTAACTAACAAAACTAAATCTTTCAGGGAAGACAACAAATGTATACAGGGTCGTATCATACTGGAGGAAGTGGCTCGTTCACATGGAGCTGGACAGATGATTGGGGGCAGAAAGACTTAGACTTAGGTGAGTTTTTGGGGGCTCCTTGACAGCTAACACTGCACACTGAGGATACTGATGCACTCCTACTGGGCCCTTTTGAGAAAGCAAGAAAAAATACGCAAATAATCACAAATTAGTGCCAAACCACCCTAAAATACTTATTTGTCAAAAATATCAAATGATCTAAAACAAGTCAGTGAAAAGACACACACAATTGTTTAAATTAGCAGAATACTGAGCAAGTCACCTCTGGGACTTTGGACCTTTTCCTCTTTAAGGCTGGAGCAGGACTCTGTGGGCTCAATAGTTTCTTCAGTGAGAGCTGTAGGCTGGTCTACACCTGAAGGTGTTTTTTAATTTTGAAAGTAAATGCTATGAAGAAGTGATCTACAACACTTAGTTTACTATATAAATAAAAGTACTGTAGCTAATCCTGGAAGCATAGGCAAGGACGATGACAATCCAAGTTCACTAAATTGAGCTGAATTACAAAACACCAACCACTCACCTCCCTGTGTTTTCAATATAGCTTGATGCAGGATAGACTCCACCCTACTGTAAAGCTCCTGAACATCTACATCTGCATCAACACGGACCAAAATGTTTTGCTTTTCGCCAAACCATTTCTCCAGTTTTGGCCAGGTATCCTGAAAAGCTGTTATCCTGAAGGGAAGAAATCATGTTGGATATTAACAGACACAGAACAAAGGTTATTCCTTCAAATTAAGCTCCCTATTTTCTTCTTTTGTACCTGTGTCCAATCTGTGCCAGATACACATTCTTGTCTGCATGCTGGGAGGTTCTAGGATCATCGTCCAGATCTGCACAACATAAACGTTACACTAAGATTTAACTTGTTTCATGTAAACACAGCCAAACAGTTAATATTTGGGTGAATGTTAATACACATTATTAAGCTCCTAAGAGTTTATCAAACCCATTTTAGTGTATCCACGACTGATTGCATGCTCATCAGGGATATCCAGGAGCAAAACCAGGTCCAGCACAGGTGCAGGGGGTGGTGGAGTTTTTGGTGGATTGGGATCTTTAGCAGGGTTCTTCCTGCTATTTACAACTTCCCTTTCTAAGGATACAGCTCCACCAAGGGCTTTCTCTAGAAGATGTGCCTGAGCGATGTCAAATGGGAATCCATCCAGAATCCAACCTGACTGAGATGGAAGCTGACTAATGCAGACACAATAATTATTTCACTATGTAGAGCGTGATTTGTTGTTCATTTTGTATATGAATATTTGGATTTCTATTACCAACGTGACATTTACTGGTAAAATTAAGACAATGGCCTCAACATTTCTCACCTGATCGCCTCTACTATAATGTCCACTAACAGCTCATTAGGGATAGTGTTCCCTTTCCTCAGCTCTTTTTCCACAGCAGCTCCTTGTATGGCTCGCTTCAAAAGCTGGAAAAGTAAGAAAAGCTTTTACCCAAATTCCAAATCATTCGATTTTCCAAATATATATTTGTATTTTTTAACAACAAAGATCAAAAACAATTTCCCTCAGGCAGATTGGTGTTATAAAATGGATACAGGCTGTTACGTAGTATAAGTAAATAGAAAAATGATAAGTAAATTCAAAGATGATAAATACAACACATACAGTACACAAACAGCACTTACTGTTGCATTACCAGCTCTATTTTCTTCTTGGTTTTCAAGATCTGGAAAAAGATGAAAAAAAAAAAAGTGATGATAACAGCTTTGTATACTAAGCAAAGAAACACACCATCGTGTATAATACAAAACAGAATTGAATAAAATCATTAGACCTTCAGTAACCCACCAGATTTCACTGATGTGTTTGCGAGAGGTTGCTCATTGTCTTCGTCACGCTGCTGCACTGTGCCCTGTTAATTTTGTCCAAAATAATTGTTTGAAATGACAGCAGAAATAACTGAAATGTTTGCCGTGAAAAATCTTTTAACGTCTATTTATAATAAGAATGGATGCTACTAAAGTTACAGTACTCATTTTACTGTCTCTAACTAACCTTCTCTCCGTTCTTGTGAGCATTCAGTGCCTCTTCAATCAAAGTATCAGTCGATAAGACGTAGATGCCATGTGCTGAAGCAGAAGCAATACATACAGTGACAACTAACCATGCAATTATATCCAATATCCATTTATAATACAAGTATAATATAAGTAAAGATTTAAGTGGAGATTAATTTTGTGTTTGTATATGCAGTAAATATCTTTTCTTATATCATGCCTTCAGCAATCTTGGACAGGCAGGTGGTCTTGCCAGAGCAAAACTTTCCAAGGACACAGGCCTTAAGGATAAAGTGTGGAAATAGGGATGATGATGGTTCAGTTATGGGTGGATCAACAACGTTCCTCAGTTGTTGGACAATGTACCCAAGAATATCATTGTTGGTCACGGGTAATTTCACTTCCACAGCTTCCTCTGGCCATCCCCACTCACCCACCATATTCTGACAAACGTATGTCAAAGACAAAGAGGACCTTAGGCATTCAGATAGCATCGGGTACTTGAATTTAGATACACACTTCTTCAATGTCAAAAATGTAGCTCAATCGCCATGCCACTTTTTATTCTAAATAAAGTTACCTCGTCAACAAAAGTTAGCTAAGGGCAGGCAAATGTGCATACAAAATATGTTTGAAACACTGCATTCATATTTCAAACTCACAGTGTATTCATCATAGTCCTGGTTGTTGAGTATCTCCTGCTTCTGAAGCTCTATAGTGTCTAGTGGTTCACGGAACCCAAACCCTGGCTGGCGGTCCTTTATTGGCTCGTAAAGTGGAAGACCACTGAACAGCAATTCCTTCCACTCTCTCATCAGCTTCTCTGGAATTCGACTGGACATCATAGCAGAAAATGACAGGAGGCAAAGCTTGAATTCTGAGGTTGGATATGGACTATAAATCTGAACAATCTCCAGTCTCTTAATTCAACCGTAATACGTTTCTTAATGTTGTCTAAATGTATTCATTTAGTCAATCAATGTTCACTGAGGTGGAAAATGCTGTAAATAAACTCTGCAGGAATGCTTAATCTGGTCATGAGTAGGAGCGCTGACACAGGACATGGGACATGTAAAACCTAGTATAACATACATACAGCATTGCAGGTAGACGGATAGACCAAAAAAGCAAATATGGGGCATGATGAGCATGAGAAAAGACAGTCTGGACATTTACATGGCCCGATTTTATTTGACCACTGGTCAGTTGTACAATGACAGTTTCCAATATTGGTATTTTTTCACAGGTTTGAACTCACATCAGCATTTGCACCATACTGTGCAGTGCTTTAGCATTAACATTAAAAACAACTTCAAAATTTCAGTCAGATTTCAGTTTGTCAGTACTTTCCTAAAATACTTTCTATATTGTTTTTGAGTAAAAAGAAACTAAAATAAAATATAATCTAAATTTTAAAAGGTGCCCAAATTATTTCAGTTACTTTTTCAGAAAAAAAATCTTGAGTTTGAAATGTGTTCTAATTTAAACAAATTAAATCTGTATATAGAGCAGAGTACCTGCTCTTTTCACCCTTAGTCCAATTATTCACATCATGAAGTTGCCAATGTAAAAATATTTCTGCAACTTATTAGTGGTACACTCTGAAAACATACATAACACATTTTTGAATTTTCACACATTTATCAAATGACCAAGAGGTCCGTTTTGAAACCAAACACCATTTGCTGCATTTATACTTCATCTTTACAAAGCAACTATGTTACGTACTTTCCATTGAGCAGTCGATATTCTCCAACCTTTGTGGCCAAGTCCATTATCTGCTCCAAAATGCCCCTGCAGTTCTCAAAATGCTTCTTATATTTCCTTTGAGCTCTCTCAACAGCAATCCTGTTACAGAATTCAAGCTCCTTTTTGATCTCTTCTGCACGATCCAACTTAGCCTGCTGAGCCACAGCCTATATGAGACCCCAGTCAGAAAGAGGGAATCAGTGGAGAAGGTATAAAGGTTCCTGCTAATCACCAGTGTTTTTAAGAAATTAGGGAAGATGCTAAATATTACATTTCATCATTTACTGCGTAAAATTTAGTACTAAGTTTTATTCACAAAGAGTTCTGAAGACAAAGACAAAAAAATAACAGAAAGGAGAATTTTAACACTACTACTGCCTAGTGTACAAAAAGACACGAAAAGACCCTATAAGAGATTCTGTGTACATTTAATTATATGATTTTCTACATTTCTTCTGTAAATAACAGCTGAATTTGAAAAATGTTTTCACAAAATTCTCCTCTGATGTTCCCTGAGAAATTAAATTAAATTAAAGTGATAAAACCAGCATAAAATGGTGACAACATACAAAACATTTGACATTTGGTTAAGTGACTCTCTATGTTCGTGCCACTGTCATCAAATCCCATAACAACTATTAAAAAAACAGTAATTAAAGTACTTAGCATTGTTGTGTATTCATGTATTCAAAGCCTGGTTTTGTTTATTCGTCTGTGCCACAGTGCTCCACCCCCATACTGTTTCATCATATTTGCTTTTTGTCTTTTATTGGGATTTGTTGACAATTAAAGTTATAATGTTATAAAGTGATAACAGTTAACCTTTAAATCTATACCACTGCTAATAATTATACGCTATTAAAAAAGCTATATTTTCACACTGAAACCATAGTGAACCATGAACATCACTAATTTGTTTTCCACTAAATCTGTCATCTGTAGTGTATCTGTGACCACTGAATGGACATGATTCATACACTCTTAGTATATCCTTTATCTATATCTCTCAAGTCCATCTGTTTTTCTTCAAGATAACAAATTCTATTGATACAATACAACCTGTGTAAATCTGGCCTCTTATTTTTATCCCTACTAGACAATTAATACTATTACTGACCAAGCCTAATACAAAACAACATCTGTGAGACATCTGTCCTCATATATCATCCTATCTCACCGCCTCCCTGTCCAGAGCTTCCTGGAAGTCTCTCTCTCTCCGCTGCTGGTACTGCTGTTCTCTGAACAGGCGGTTCTCTCGGATGACCTCCTTCTGCATACGTATCTGAAGTAGCTGGGTTGCCAAACGCTGCTCCTGCTGAGTCTGACGTGTCAGTCGCTTCACCAGTTGCTCCTCTCGTCGTGCCTCCTGAAGGGTGGGGAAGAGGAGGCTAATTAGCTGATTTGGGGGTTAAAATGACAAATGACAGTCAAATAACAGACTATTTGAGGTCGAAGAACATAGGAGGGATGGAAAAACATTTGAGAACCACTGGATTTTTTAAATATATCTAACAAAGGCTATTAATATTTCTCAGCGAGATGTTTCACCTCCTGAGCTTCATGGACCTTGAGCTGCTCCACCAGGAATCTGTCTTGTCTTTTCTCTCTCTCCTTGCAAGCTATAGCATTTTCCTCCAGCCTCTTTCGGATCTCTTGTATGTATCTGTTGCTGGACTGTAACATCACCTTATTTCCACGTCCAAGCAAATCACGGCCCTGACTGCTGCTACCAAGGGAAAAATCTATGGGGGACTGACCACTAAAAATAGAAAGAAAGAAAAAAACATATGTAAAAAAAAGTTATATGGTAGCAACGATTTAAGAGTGGAACAAATGTCCATTAAAACAGACATTTAAAAATATGCTTAGTAAATGAAATATTTTCCTGTTCTCTTACCTTGATGATAACCCAGCAGTAATTACCATCTTCCTGTTTGTCTCAAACTGGGCTATTTCAGTCTGGACTATCTATGTGAACAAAACACAATAACACCCAAGAGACAACAGACCAAAAATGAAATTTCCTCTATGGGTTAGGAAATTATTACAGCATTTTTAGCTCTATCACACCTGTGCTTGCCGTTCTTTGCGCTTCTGCTGCTGCTGTCTCTTCTTTAGGCTGAGCTGTGAAATGTATGGAGGTGGCTTAGGCACCTGCATATAAGTGGTCTGGTTAAAAGTCATGCCTTTGTGCTTCTGATGAAATGCCTGCAACTGCAACATACACAGTTCAGAGTAGTAAGTATCTCAAACTTTATTTATTGCAATAGCATAATATAAGATAATGTACAAAAGGAAAATACTGTGTGCCATCTGAGAATGAGAAAGAATTTGGAAAGGGGTTTTAGTTATAGACCAATTTAAGTAAGCTAATATTCTATTTAATCTTCCAGCACCTTGTCAATATTCTTCAGTCTTTTCTCATCCTGGACTCTGACTTGTCTCTTCTGCTCGATCGGAGGGGTCACCACAAACTGCTGGAATTTCTCCTCATAGTGCTGGGAAATTTTCTGAAGTTTCAATTCTGTATCACGTTTCACCACCTGACGCAGTCGCTATGTGAAAGGAAAAAATGCTTGAAAATACACCTAAGGGCCCAAATCATGATTTCATTTTTCATTATTCGTAAAAAGCGAAACATTTTTAAAATCTAAATATGTTTCTTACCGATCAAAACAAGCCTGCTTCAAAAGGAAAAAAGTCTCTAATAACCGCATACAAAACTCAACAAACAGCCCTCTTACGTCAGAATAGATTTGATGCTCCTTTTTGTGCAGGCTTGCACATCCTGCTGGCTGCATAATTTCCATCATTGTCCCACTAATTTCTGCTTTCCTGTTCTTCTCAAGTGAGACATAGAGTTGGTATAGGAGGCGTGTGGCAGCCCCCTGCTTCTCCTGAATTAGGTCTTGGGCTGTGTTTATGTCGAAGGAGATCCCAAGTAATTGGAGAGTAGGCTCAAGGCGTGTAAAATTATTCAGTTTGGAGACAGAGGTGCTAAAACGAAAGGTGTGATTTCCAATTATTATGAACACCTTAAATGAACTGCAGAATTAAGCACCTGTAGCTAAGAGACAGAAAAAAAAGGGGCAACTTACTCTTTCTTCATAAACATATTGAAATCGTTTTGCAGCTGATATTTATGCAAAACTTCCCCCATTAGGTAACCACTGGCGAAATCTTTGGCAATGGTCTTTGGCTCTGTAGAGATGAACATTTAGTCATTTACCCAAACAAAGACTGGTATAATAAAGAAATTGAAATTGAAATATATTTTGAGCAGTCCAGACAAACTATTGGCTTAATGAGTTAACGTGTTGATGAGTATTGTGTATTAACTTTGAAATAATATCCCTGGGGTTGTTGACTTTATAGATGGACGTGCCCTTTGTCTTTTTGGCGTCCAGGAGCTAATAACAACATCTATACCGAACTTTAGCTTCATTAAGCTAGCAGCTAGTTCGTTGGACAAACTTACCTACAGCCTTTGACAGCTGGAGCTCCTGGTTCAGCCACCGGCACAATATATCCGACATCGTACTTTTTCAGCTCTTACATTTATACTCAGACAACACACCACCTAACGCTACTAAGACTATGACATTTTAGCCCCAGGATAACGTCAGAAAAAACAGCGGAGCATATCCCACTGGTACACCGTTGCCATGGCGCCCTATCAACATAGCGGTGGCGTTATTAGAACGCCTCAGTATAGCTTACCCTGGATCAGTTTTTATTTCACAAACAAGTGTAATTAAAAACTAGAATTAATAACTGCTAACCGATCCAGAACCTGTGCTACTTAATACTAAAGGGACAAAAGTATTTTTAGCTACATAACCATCATCAGACATTAAAGGAAACTAATAACTTGTAATGGGGACTTAATAGTAGCACACTAGGCACGTTGATTACGGTTAAAATGTTTATTTAAAAAAATATGGAAAAAAAGAACCACGCCGACAAACTAACAGTTAGCCAGACAAGTCATTTTATTGCATTGAAACAAATAGTATACCATTTTGTGTTAGTAGTGTTAACATTTATTTTTTCCACTCGGACAAAATGTAGTGTTTTCATTCAATAAAATCGAACGGATAAAATAATCTGCTAGATATCACGAATTTAAGAAGAATTTCCTGAAATAAGGTACATTTTTTAATGCACAATACTTTCAGTCCTGTTGTCATGCAGAACACTAAGTGTTAGTTTCCAAGCCATATGGCAACATAAACGAGGAGTTTACAAGCCACTGTTTTGTTGTGATATTTTAGATAGCATGCATCAATTTCACAAAGACATCCAAGGCCAGCGAGGAAGATGTGTAAAGCAGCAAGTTTACACTGGTATACAAAGCACATATCCAAAAATTCTACAGTGTAAACACTCATTAGAAAGGAAGATGAATCTCAGAAAACAGCGGAAACTTTAAAGCAAAATTGCTCGTCTGCAGCTGCAAGGAAGAGATCTCTAGCCTTACATACACTTTGTCTGGCAAAGCGAATCTCCTATGGTAAGATAGCAATGCAAAGCGGAGTAAGCTTAAAAAAAAAACGGGGGAAAAAAAGAACAAACAGGATCACAATTCTTATTCACTTTATATACAACAAATATATATTTCAAATCTGACTCTGTTTGAATTTTCCTCTCATTAACTAAATAGTAGAGGAAATATAATGCCATTTTATATAAAACATCAGGAGATTTTGTATTGCAAGAAAGAAAGGGAAAAACAGAAAATCACACTTATGTACAGTTTGTTGCATTAATAATAAGATTTCCAGGACAATAAAAAGGTGCCAGTCTGTTGATCAAAATCAACATAAATCCTGTAACACACTGTGTAACTTATAACCTTCGAAGCACTGCTTGATTAAAAAAAAAAAGCAAGCTTCAAAGGAACAGAATATGCAGCCACGTTTAAATACTCAGATTTACATCCCCTCTTTAAAATAATCTTGAAAGATGATGATCTCCTATACTGAAAGCGGCTTATTCAGTACTGATGCAAGCTGTCGCCTCATAAATCAAAATTCAGAGCAGTTTTCTGAGAGAAAGAAAGGGGGGATACAATTTTCTCAGTAGTCAAAGAGGACTGACTGCCTGCCCGTTATCAGTTCGTCTGTGAAGACAGAGTTAAAGTTTGTTTACGTCATGATTCATGTCACAGTAGGTTTGCTTAAAGCTTGTTGGCTGGAGGCACTGAGAAACAACAGACCACATCTGCCGTGCGGGCAAGCCCTGGCCTGACTCTAAAAGAAGAAAAGAAAACTATACATCTTGCTTATTGTGTCAAATTATAAGCTTTCTATACTCATTTGTATTCAATGAGCATTTCTAGTCATTATCTATCATTTCTCTCCTTTGGTCCCTTTATCTAACCATAGAATTTTTAAAGGCGGCATATATATATATATATATTATTATTATAAAACATTTGTTTAAATGTACTGCAGACCAAAAGACAGTAAACACATAAACACAGCCTACCAAACTGATATCAAGTTCTTGTGCAGAACTCTCTAAAGAAACCAAAGAAATCTTCGCAATCCACACCGACACACCGAGAAGCCACAGCACTCACTAAAACTGATGACAAATGACATCTCCTGTACTTTAAACTAAAGTGTGGGTGGGATCCAGATACTGAAATACAGTGCACTTTCAATCAATTCTGAATCACATTAGTGTAAGACATTGTTAACAGCAACATTTAGGAGTAATAAGGCAATGTGTGAAATTTGATGGTGCAAACACTGGAAGCGTTGAATTTTGAAAACTTTGATTACCCACCCAACTAACTTGCATCAGTTAAAAATGTATAATATCAATCAGGATAATGCAAGTATCAGCCTGACCGTGAAATCCATTTCGTGGCAAAAAAAAACAAATAAAAAAATAAAAATAAACTCTACTGGTAATGAAGGCAAAACAGAAGGCAAGAAAACATTACATATTAGTGTGTTTGTTCATTATAATACATCACTTTGTATTCATGTTTTTAGCTTATAACAGTGTATATCCGATGGGTTTATCACCCATATATTTCCAGACCATAATACAAAGCACCACACCCACATCTGTGTAAACTAAAGATGATTCTCATCAATAAGTGCATAGTTCCACTGATATCTCCCTGTTTCAACAGTTATTTGTGAACTGTAAATCACACGTGAGAGGACTTGAGCTTCAGTCCTGTAGCTGTCTCAAAGCAGGTAAGATTAAACCAATGGTGGAACAGCAGAAGACATGAACAATTAAAACTGCTCCTTTCCTAAAGGTATTTATAAAGTATTTTCAGGTGCCATTATAAAGTTTGAAGCTGTGTTGCATTCAGTTTTTCTCTGTAGTGTAGTAAAGCTTACATCGCCAAAAGAAAGAAAGGAAGAAAGAAAGGTAAGCACACTAAACACAGGAAATGCCATTCGGAAATGCCCATCACACAAAGTCACAGATCAGACACCGGGTCTCCAGAGGGTGCATATATAGTATGGTAGAAAGAGGTATGAATAAATCATTTGAGGAGTTTTTCTGCCATGATAAAAATGTTTTGATTTATAAATATACAGATTTATATTCATAATCCAAGGACGAGAAAATAACAAGACACATTTCTACATGTTTGGCATAAACGTCAGAAAATGACTTATTAACTGCTGCTGTCGAAATGCAACAATCATGTGGTGCTACATCAGAAGGGATACTTAGCTAGACTATGTGGCTTAGCCTTGCGATACATGACACTGGTAACAGTAATGATGAAAATAGTTTCACATTAAACCCCCTGACCTGGCGACTAGTACTGAGAGAGAGATGATCTCATGGTTTTGTTGATGACAGCAGGTTTGTGAGCCAGGATGCTGCTGAAGACGACAGCTGTCGTTTCTCCCCTGTATTCTCCTCTCCATCCGGGAGAAGGAATTGAGTGGAAGCAACAGAGGTAGGGGATCCCAGTGAAGGTGCCAGGCTGCCCATTTCTGCAGCATCCACGGGGGAGTCCAACTGCCAGGAGCCCTGGGGCTTGTAGCCCCCAGAACAGGCAGCCTGTGGCTCTAGGAAAGACTCGGGTGAAGGCAGGCCCATGTCATCACTTGGGGCTCTAGGTTGCATCTGAGGTCGATAGCCTCCTCCTCCATAGCTGACCGACCGATCAAGCTGGGGTTGGTGGCACTCGGAAGAACCCTGTGGATCCAGCTGGAGGACCAAAGAAGACCCTGAGGTCTGGATCCCTGTGTATGTCACATCGGTGTGAGCTGAACTCATAGACGATATAGAAGAAGCAGACGAGTCTGGGAAACGTGGCCTTATGGGACGCTCATCTACCATTTGGTTATAGTAGCGTAATGACGTTGGTTCATCTGTGTCAACTGACTCATCTCCTATTCCCTGCCCCGCATCATCCTCATCTTCCTCAGGAATGGCGACAAGCATTTCTTTAATACAATCATACTCAGGTGTTTCTACAACACACACCATGCTGTGGGGAGATGGCTTCACGTCCAACGGACCCTGAAAGAGACAAAGAGTCAGTTAGATATTGTTTCACAAGACAGCATAAAAAATAACACATAAAAAACAGGGAATGAGCTTTTGTAATCACAAAGGAAGCACAAGGAAGTTTCTAAGGATCATACTGGATTAAGCTAATACTGTACCCGTGTCCTGGGCCAATCACTGGGAAGCTTGGGCTCTGGAATATCTGGATAGAATGCCTTCTTTACCCTGGTAGGAGCAGAATTTTAATTTTAACATTTAGAATATCAAGTGCCTGAATAATAATAAAAAAAGATGCTCTGCATTGCTGCCTTGAATTATAAAATTATCTCTTGCATACATGCAAACAAGAGAGAAAGACTAGCAAAAATAGCAGCACAACAGTCTTACCACTTCCTTTTCTTGTAGCAAGTGAAAGTGACGATGGCCAGTAATAAAGTTACAAGCCCCAAAGAAGTCAAGATCTCCAAGATGAGCCAATCAGCTGTCAGGATAGGACAATGACAGTATTAGAAATGCTACACTACCAATTTACCTACATCTAAGTACAAATTACGCTATCTATCGATACATACATACACACATATATGCATGCATCATACATGGGAATCTTTAATAATGCTGACAGACTGACATAATAAATAAAACTAGATATTTACGTACTGTAGGGCTCTATTGTTACAGTGGCAGTGGTGCCTGTGTTCTCCCCTGCTGCAGTGTAGGCCTTGACAGTAAATTTAAAGGTCCCCTTAGTGAAGCCCTTTGCGAAATCCTTTGCTGTGTAGCTCATCGTTTCTGGATCAGACACATTCTCTGTTCAAAGGGTAATGAACGAGTAAGGAGAGAAAAGAAGAAGAAAAGTATTAACCAGAAGCAAAATGCACACACTGTGATGAACTGCAAAATCATAATTATTCATGATCTTTGTCCTTTTAAAGTATTGTACTGTAACAGTTTTATTGGTTAAACAGGAGGAGAATCATAAATATACCTAGTAGTTTGAACTGGTAACCAGTGCTGTTGTAAATATTGTAGCCCAGGAGGAAGCCTCTTCTGTTCACCAGTGGAATCTCTTTCCAGGTGAGAAGAATATCAGCGTTCTGCTGACTGGCTGACAGAGTCAAAGCAACAGAAGGGACTGTGGAAACCACAAAAGGTGGGAAAAGGTTGGAGGAGCATGGCGAGAAGGAGAAAAGT